GAAATTATAAAAAATTACCTAAACTTTTCACAACTAAATGTATATCCTTTTTCTTTAGGACTAGTTTGACATTTTTTGATCTGTTCAGGAGCCATCCAACGAAACATCTCTATTTTACTTTGAAACAAAAGTTTAGTAGTATCCGCATCTGCTTTTCGTGCATATATAAAATTTCCAAGCTTTGGATCTAAGTTATGTGACACCTAAAATTTAATAACTTACATTAGTTAATAACATGCTAAAACATTTTTTATAGATACCAAAATCTAATTACTTACAAAAACATTTTCACACCTAATATCATGATGTAAAATATCTAATTCACGCAAAAATACAAGACCACGACAGATATCGCGAATCATTTGTATTTTTCTAGTCCAAGGAATATCACATTTGTCATAAAGCTTCTTTAAATCCTCATGTTCAGCCCATTCAAAGACCATATATTCATGGTTATCAAATTTTGAAAGACCGTAGAATTTAAGAATGTTTGGTGATAAGCTTAATTGTTCAAGAATTGCTAATTCAGATTGATAATTGGCAGAATCTTTGATAGGTTTACATGCAACATCATCACCCAAATAATATTTCTTAATAACGGATCCACGATTATAATGTCCTGTTGGAGGATCACTCAATTTGACATTTTGCGCATAGGCACCACCAGTTGTTTTATTTTTTATTATGGTGGATTGTATATCATCGAGTTTATTATTAGTAATTTCGACACCATAATTAAGATTCTCGAGATCCTAAAGCAGCAAATTAAATCTTAATGTAAAAAAAAATGATAGTATATTTTTGATAGTATAATTAATTATTATCTAAGTACATACCTTCAATGCTTTATCAATTTTTTTAGAATCTTCTTCTCTTCCATTTTCATTAGCAATTGATACAGAAAAATGTAAATCTTTCATACAAGTATTATATTCAAGAACCAATTTATCATGTTGAATTTTAACTTTATTTGCTTCAATAAATTTTCTAAAGCCTTCAAGCTTTGACACTTTATTAGTAAATTCCTTAATATCTGTCAAAACTTTTACAAATCTTTTAAGTGATAATGCATAGTCTTTTTCATAAAGATAGCTATCATTTCTTCTTTTCATTCTTTCTAGGGAATATTTTGCTGCTTCTACTCGTTCCATCATTTGGATACACATGTCTTTATTACATTCTGCATTCTCATAAACTTTATAAATTTCATCAAATAAAGTTTTTACAGCATCAACTATAGGAACATAAGAAGCTGCAATTTCGACTGTAGTCCTAATCGTAGCGCCAACTACAGTCTTTACGTCTTCAGAGACAGAATTTGTTGCCATAATGATAATATAATTAAGCTAAAAATATTTAAATTGGATAAAACTGCGAGTGCGAATTATCGTTCTTTATAAAGTATTTTAATTTTACGCCAAGTTACGTAACACAAATACAAAAATACCAAAATATCTAATAATTTTAGATTATCGTTTTGCTGATGAAACGTTACATGTAACGATAAAATTACATTTTTTACTATGTCTCAAGGCAATATGTAGAGTTTATACTGAATTCGGATTCAATCATAAGATTTGCAAAATTCGGATTTAGTGCGGAAATAACAATTATTGTACATAACGCCGAACAATCGAAATGTATTGCTACATTCATACCACGTACATATAAGTTTGACAAATGGAGCGGAATGAAGCATCGGAGTATTTTTGCTTGCACATAGAAATTTTTTTTGTCTTAAATTCAGATTATGTATAATAATTTAATATAAAAAGTTCCAACGAAGCAATGGAACAACAGAATTGAGTAAACAAATTTTCCCAATGGAGTAAATGGAATATGTAACTGCCAACATATGTCTATACCGATTCATATTTAAATCTGGATCATATAATAAGGCGAAGCAAAGTAAATTTTCTGGTTTTCATATCCCGACTGGGTCAATTTTTTTCAATTTAAAATTTAATTTTTTTTATTTAATATATTAAATATTGCATATTTAAAACTTTCAAAAAATTATACATATATACAATAATTGGGTAGATATTTCAATAAAATTTTATCTTTAAAAATAAATTGTTCTAAAAAAAGTTGGGCGTCTGGATCCGTTTAGAAGTTTAATGATATGAAAACCTAAATTAAATACGGATATTTATCGCTATATAAATGAATAATACCAAGGTAAAACCAGACTTCGGCTTTTAAACCTACCACTAATCTTTAAAAAATTCTGAAGAATTGAGTCTCAAGGTTTAGTTATATAAATTATCAATTTTAGGTCAGCACATTTAAAACTCAATTTCCAAATTAACAAAACAGTTTTAAATCCACACCCCTTCTAATTTCACGCATAACATGAATGCCGCCAAGGGAAGCAGGCAAATCTTAATTAATAATATTTGCGGATTTTCCCTTGGCGGCATTCATATATAATATAATAGGGTTTTAGAACTAATGACCGTACAAATCCGATTGGCTGATTTAATGTATTATATTTTAAACAGAAAATATTTATAAAATTTTCGTTAATAATAAATAGGAACACATTATTAATCAACTACTTTTCATAATTCTTTACTTGTTATATAACATTGTCAGATCAAATACATCTCAAACATATGCTTCCAACTAAAAAAGTAATTGGACCATGCGTTACATGTTTAAAAACTGAACAAGATTTTTGTTTCATAGTATTACTCCGCTGACTTTTAAAAAGGCACTAGATGGTGTAGTTTATTTAGAAAAGTGTCACAATATACTTTAGGCAACATTCTTTTTAATAGTTGAACAAGCATAAACAAAAATCCAATTTTTTTTCAAAAACGCCAAATTT